TGCATATAACACCCAATGCTCCATGCAATACATACCTTCCTTAATATCCATCACTGGGCTAACCCATTCCCCCACTCCCTCCCCTCTAAAACCCTCAGTTTGTTTCTTGAAGTCCATAGTATCTCATGGTTCGCCTTCCACTCCAATTTCTCCCCCTTCATTTTTCCCTTCCTTCTCCTATGTTCTCCATTCTATTCCTTATGTTCTACAAATAAGTGAAACCATATGATCATTGACTTTTTCTGCTTGACTTATTTCACTTAGCATAATCTCCTCCAGTCCCATCCATGTTGATCCAAAAATTGGGTATTCATCCTTTCTGATGGCTGAGTAATATTCCCTTGTGTATATGGACTACATCTTCCTTATCCATTCTAGACACAGTATTTTAAAAGAGTTTGGATTAGTTCCCTTCTTACTGCTTCCAGTTAATCACCCAGCTTCAAATGCAGTTTATCTGATATGGATTCAGCTTTTTAGACCATGACAGAAAATCTTTCCTAAATAAGTTTTTAAAGATATAAATGTATTTTGTAAAATTCATTCAGGGGTCACAGATGTAGCTCAGAAGTGACAGTGAGAACAAAGCAATATCTACATTTGTTAAGAAAGGGGAAATGAGGTACAGAAAGTGAACATAATGATCTATATAAATCATGGCTTTTAAAGGTTATATAAATACTAATATGTAGTGTGCAATTGTTTTAATCAAGAATTCTTAAAAACACCATTTTTTCTCATTATGAATCATGTCAAAATTAAACTTCAGATTTTCAGTTAATATGTATTGAATTTTAAGAGCTGCTACAAAAAGCTTATATTTCATACCATCAAATACCTGAGATGTATTTGTCATCAGGAAAACAAGAATGAATCAGACCACAGGGGAAATTTGGGGTGTCAACATTCCAAAGACAGTTAACAATATGTAATATATGATATTAATAGAACAATAATAGTGTATAAAGCAGTTCTTATGAATATTACTTTAGAACTTATATGTGAAGGATTTGCTTTGTTTTATTTTGTTTGTAGGTGCCATTCTTTAAGAAAGAATTCTACTCTCCACTTTTCTTCCTATGTTGAATTGGCTGTTAGTATTTTCTACTTTGTGGAAAAGGTTATTTTCCAGGAAAATGTGATCTAAAAAGAACTATTGGGTAAAAGCCATTTTTGCCATAAGCTTCCAAAATAAAATAGGGCTGTGCTCATCCGCGAAAATTTTCAACCCACTGACATAATAAATATCATACTTAAGACCATAATAACAGGGGCGCCTGGGTGGCTCAGTGGGTTAAATCCTCTGCCTTCGGCTCAGGTCACGATCCCAGGATCCTGGGATAGAGCCCCACATCAGGCTCTCTGCTCAGCGGGGAACCTGCTTTTCCCCTTCTCTCTCTCTGCCTGCCTCTCTGCCTACTTGTGATCTCTGTCTGTCAAATAAATAAATAAAATCTTTTAAAAAAAGACCATAATAACAATGTTAAAACTGCATAAAGAAAATTATAACTTAAGGATACACCTTTGTTATTCAGTATAATGCTGCTCTACCTCTAGACTCAGTAATATGGTAAGAAATATTGAGAGTTTTCTATTATATAGTAAGGGAAACTGACAATCTCTTACTCTATTTCACATGCAGCCACCACTGAGACTTAGCAATTTACATAAGCTGTTTACTTGCCTTAAATCACCATAGTACATAGAACTTGACATACAAAGTAATTTTCATTTTCTCAGCAGTTTCTCCATCATTTAAATTTACCAGTGCTCTTTCCAAAGATGTCCCCTATTGATACCAGCATAATCAGCTAAGAACAGAAATGTGCAATACTTGCTTAGGAAAGGAGACTAAACCCAATGTTTTCTGAATGTTTTGCTATCTGTTAACTAATTTCTAGTGATTGAATATTCATTGACTATGTATATGTGTACTATTCTGCTCTCTAACTCTCTAGCTTATTTAGCTAATAGCTGACAACCTAAGTAGAGAACGTTAAAAACAACAATTATATCTATCAAAATTATTAGCTACTGTGAATTAACTTTTATTAGTAATAACTATAATCAGAGAGACTATTGTTGGCAGCAAAGATATCAAATGAAAAGTATAAGATGGTGTATAGAAGCCTCAAAAAATATCTAGTTTGGTAATATTGTTCCTTACAGTAAATCCATGAATTAATCTCAAGAATTCTCTGCAATTTTTTTGAGGGGTACAACCATAGCACATTTTCTTATGGTTATTTTTCTATATACAAACATCAACCTAAAATGGTTGATTAAAACCAAGAAAACTATTAGTCATGTAATAATTCTCAACACAGCAAAAAGTTGTTAGAAAAGCAATAAAATCTGTTTTTCAAAGGTTTGTAACTGCAATTTTAACACTGATGTTAAGTGACAATTTTTCACACAAGCATTATTAATAGGATAATATTAGAACTTTGACAGACATCAATTTGTAGGACTCTGGGATACCTCTCTTTGTTTTAAAAAAATAGTAGTATTAATTAGCAGTACTAAAAACTAAGCTATCATATACTTAATGGACCAAAATTAATGTTGCTTATAGAATTTCATAATTTACTTTACCAGGAAATAGTCATTGGAGAATAGTAATAATCTAAAGTTGTACTAATCAGATCAATCCTGTACAAAATACTTAGATTGTAACTGTTTTAGGAGATAATGAAAATGTACAGGTGATAAAAATATGTGAACTTAATACTTTATATCTTCTTAGAAAACATTTTCACTTGCCCCAAGAAATAGAAGGATTATTTTAAGTCTGGCTTCTATAGTATGCACCTGTGAAAAATTATTTAGTATTAATTTATTGATTTAGGATATAATTTATCATAAAAACTATGCCCACTACTGACAGTGCCCTTTAGGTTTATCCAAGAGAGTAATATTCACAAAGATTAGAAAATCAAGTGCCTCAGTTCATGCTATGTTGAACTCCCCCACCTTCTAACAATATCTATACTTCAAATAAAATAATAAAGAATTTTCTTAATAAAGAAATCAAATCTGACTTTGTCTATAAAGCCTTCTCAGACAACCAGCTCCAAATCTCCTCTTTTACCTATAATTATTTTAGCTCTTATTCTGTACTACTCAATGTTCTAATTTTTGACCATGATGTCTCCAGTGGATGAACAGTTTAATTCTTGGGACCTGTTTCTCTTCTATTCTCTACAGTAACTACTATAGTAATGGACACTCAATGAAGCTAGACAATAAAAGCTTGTTGAAAACCAATTAATTTAAAAAACACTGAATTCATTCCAGAATTCACTGGTCAAGTGCTTTGTTGTACTTGTATTAATATTATCTTACAATGTGGGTATGACTCTCTAGGTAAACGCTCTTGAGTATGTGGCACCTTTATAACTATAACCATATTCATTGAAATCAAATTCTAAATGGTATCCAAATTACTGTCTGGTTCTAAAAGTATGTGAAGTGTGTATCCACATGGTACATTTTATTTCAAATAGTTCGGACTTGAATTGATCAAGAGCTTTTCCAAAATAGAAACATTCCTAACTTTGGAATCTAGCAACTATAAGCATTTTAATTTGCCAATTCACCACTATCACCACCACAACGACCACCACCAACAACAACATAAAATACTTGCTGAGGTCCAAGATTATTTTGCAGTAATACTAGAATTAAACAGTACCTTAATGTATATCCAAGAGAACCTCAAACAACATGAAAGCTGCATTTTACCCAAAACTATCAAGTTTGGATTGATTCACTAGATAAAGTTATCTAATCACAAAAAGCATGTATATCCTTTTGAAAAATGTTTAGCTTAAAATAATTTACCCAAAATTAAATTTAGCCTCTTTAATGCAACACTTCTTTACTTCTTTCCTTTTTTCCTAATAAAAAAAACATAAAATAGCTTAAAAACTAGTAGGGAGGGAAGAGACCCAAATAAAAGAAGGAACCAATCTTTCATTGTGTGTGCATGAAAGTACCTTACAATCAAAACTACTAATCAATCTGAATTCAGTCGACTTTTGGAAAGGGTCAACTGTGAACTGTGACTTTTTTCAACCATTTGATTTTAAAGGAACAACTTCACTACTCAAAGATAATATTGCTAATTTTCAAGAAGCACCTTACAACTTTAGATCCTCATCTAAATCATTCTGTCCAAAACATCACTTCAGGTCCCTCATGGTCATGTTTTTGGAAGCAACTAATCTCAATTGCAGAATACCCCAGGAAGAACAGATAGATCATAAGACACCCCTGTTTTTATTAGGGACATTTTAAGTTCCATCATATTTACTAAAAAAGAAGTTAGGTCATTCTGGATGAAAAGTAGTTCATAAAACCTGTTTCCCCTGTTATCAGGCACTATTTGTCTACTTCTTTTCAACTTTGATACCACTTTGGAAGTCAAGTAGAGTGTGTGTTTGCTAGTTTGTTTTATTACTATTATTTAATATAAGTACTGACTTCCTCATACATGTCAGGAGTCAGAAGCCAGGCACGCGACTTTCAGAAGCTCTCAGCACATGAGTATCAAGAAAACTGAAAAGAGGCCAGGCCATCTGCCCATTCAAGCTTTGAGGCATGGAGCGACAACAGTCTGAGAAACGGTTCTTGAGAAGCCTGTGGTCAGACTGAAACGTTCGAGAGCAAAAGCAACAGAAAAGGAATGAAAAGGATATTGGGAAAGTCTGTCCCGGAATCGGGGACCAGGCTACGTGATTGTACGTAATTATCAGCATCTATGGCATCTAAGAAGCAAAGCCAGGCCTTAAGCCCCTCATTCCTGGATGCTGGGGTTGAGACCAGAGAGTGGCGGTTTTTAGAAGGAAAACTACCTCGAAGGACATAGGGAGCCGCGAGCAGATGTAGGAGAGGCGTTAGAAGCTTCTGCAGGAGAAAGCAGCGCGTTGGTCGCCTCCCGGGGCCCCAGAGGACAGAAAGGCGCCCCAGCACCAGGCGAGTGCGGTGCCACTACTCACCCCTACTCTCCTACGGTCCCCGTCGTCGCCCTGCTGGACACAGCCCCTGCAGGGGGAGCCCCTCCCCCGCCCGCCGCCAGGGGTGGGCTCAGCCGGCAGGAGGAGACGGCGGCGCAGGTGTCCGTGAGCCGGTGCCAGAGATGCGCCCCAGGAGGAGCTGGCTTTAAAGGAGGCAGCCTGGTACCTTGCGCTCCCTGACGCCGCCAACTTCACCACCATCGACGTGGAGGGGCGAGGGGAGACACTGGGGGGGGGAGGCCCTCGCCCAGCGGCCCCGTACGTTCCTGGGGTACTAGGCCTGAGCTCGAGCGGGACCGCCACCCCCGGTCCCCTCAGCGGCCCGACCCCCAGGCCTGATTCCCGTCCCTCAGCCCCCGCGGCCACAGAGCAGCGGCGGCTCCCTCTCGGGGCCGCTGTCGCAGCTGCATCCTCGTGCTCCTCCTCCTCTGGCGCCGCTGCCTACACACACAACCCCAGCGCAGTTAGAGCCGCGGCGCCCCGACTGCCGTCGCCTAGCAACCGCGCGCATGCGCCCCACCCCCGCCGGCGACCGCCGCCACCGCTGGCGCCTCTGTAGGGGCTCAGTCTAGGACCTACAAAAGTGCTCTAAAGCCCACTTCCTAGATCCTGGATGGAAGGGCGTCAAGGAGGGGTGAGGTGGGAGAGGTGCAGTTTGCCCTGCAAATGGAAGAGGCTGGAGAATTTGGGGATACAATCTCCAGACTCCTCGACAGGCATCTTGGCCAGCCCAACAACCTCCCAACTTATTCTTTAGTCTTGCCTTCTCCAATTCATTCTTAACAAGGACTTCCAGAGGTATTTTCTAAATAAACTCCTTTGACCATGTCACTCATCTGCATAATTCTGGTAGGTAAGGGGCAACCCCCTTAATAGGGCCTGACAGTTCTAGACTACTGCAACAGCATACTCTCTGGCCTCCCTGCCTTTGTATTTGTCTTGCTACAATCCATTCTCATACTTCCATCAGCGTGATCTTTGTAAAACATAACTCTACTCTCACTTCGCTTCGGTTTAGAGAAGGGCTTTGGAACGAAAGCCAGTTTTTAATTTCTGCCCCACCGCTGACTAGCTGTTTCCTTGAGCCAAGATGCTTAACCTCTCTGAATCTGTTTCTTCATCTGTAAAATGGGGATTATTATAGTATTATGAAATAGTTATGAGGATTAAATGAGAGACTGCAGGTAAAACACTTAACATAGATAATTTACTCTGGCATCAGAATAAGCACTCAGTAAAAATTAGAGCTGTTTTTAAGTTGATTTTATATTTTTGCTTATAATAAAGGATAAAGTATAAACTCCCTAGCTTAGAATTTTAGGTTGTCTAAGATCTTGCCTCTATTTTTTCTAGCTTTATCTCCTTTCCACTCCCATTTGGGCACCTAGCCACAGATCAGTCCCTGAAGTTCTTGAGATACATCTAGATTATAAAGTTCTTTAATTATATTTTCCAAAGGTTTATCTGGAGAAGAATACTATGTAAACCCTCCAATTAATGAACATGTAAGTATTCAGTGATCCTTCCCAAAATACACATGTGAATTTTTAAATAATGACACTGAGAACTGGAACATAGTGATTGTCTACAAAAATTGTGTGGGTAGGGGGCTTTTTCACTTCTTTTTTTTTTAGATTTTATTCAATTATTTGACAGAGAGAGACACAGGGAGAGAGGGAACACAAGCGGGGGGAATAGGAGAGGGAGAAGGGAGCCTGATGTGGGGCTTGGTCCCAGGACCCTGGGATCATGACTGAGCCAAAAGCAGATGCTTAATGACCGAGCCACCCAGGCTCCCCCTTTACTTGATCTTTTCAAATCAGGTTTCAAGTTTCTGTAACGTATAATGACAAAAATATGTCAATGACAAAAAAAAATTTTGAACTTTATACAATGCATGAGCATATTTACAAACATCATAGGTCTTGCTGGATGTTTATTTAACTAAAGATTTAAACATTTTAGGAAGCATAAAAATCGCTGTACCACATATAGAGAATCTGAGAGGCCCTAGAACTCATACTGAAACATTAATGAAGAGCTCAAATGGAATATAAAACTAAAATGGAACTTTGAGGACCAGGTAACCAGAAAATATCAAAAAAGGTGAAAAAATAGGATAATTGTCTTTCTTTTATTGACTTATCTCTCTTAGCTTAATACCCTCCAGTTCCATCCCTGTCAATCTAAATAGCAGGTATTCATAATTTCTGAAGTCTGAGTAATATTCCTTTGTATATATAAGCCACATCTTCATTATCCATTCATCTTTGAAGGGGATCTTGGCTCCTTCCACAGTTTGGCTATTGTGGACATTGCTACTATGAACATTGGGATGTAGGTGCCCCTTTGTTTCACTACATCTGTATCTTTGTGGGTAAATACCTAGTAGTGCAATTGCTGGGTAGTATGGTAGCTCTATTTTTAACTTCTTGAGGAAACTACATACTGTTTTCCAGAGTGACTGTACCAGCTTGCACTCTCACCACATTTGCATGTGGAATATAAGAAATAGTGCAGAGGATCACAGGGGGAGGGGAGGGAAAACTGAATGGGAAGAAATCAGAGACAGAGACAAATCACAAGAGACTCTTGACTCTGGGAAACCAACTGAGGGTTAAGGAAGGGGTGGTGGGTAGGGGGATGCATGATATGATGAACACTGGGTGTTAGATGCAACTGATGAATCATTGAACACTTCATCTGAAACTAATGATGTATGTTGGTTAACTAAATTTAAATTTAAAAAAGAATAATTGGGAAGGTGAAAAAGAGTGAATCACTCTAAGACTAATTAAGTAGAAGTACCAGATGAAAATAATCAACAAACTGTAACCAGCAGGGAAGATCACAGCATAAGGAATAGGTATTACCACTGTGAATATGCCAGTGAGCTTGAATAGACTTCTTACACAGATCATCCTTTTCCTTCCATAAGATACAAACATGCATTTCAAGTTCAAAGAAACACAGTTTCTGAGTGTTCAGCCTTTTCCAAGGACCATCAACAGCTCACAGGGACAGACTTCTAACAGAATTTGCTTAGATCTTCTAAAATCTGTATTTACTGATATAAAATCTGTATTTTCTTTTTTTAAATCTGTATTTTCTGTTTACTTATGGAACTCATCATTCTACAGTGAAACAGAGGAATAAATATATAAAATTTCACTAGTCATCTTTAATTCTTCCTTTTCTACATACAAAACTGTGTCACTGCTTAAACTCCTTCAATATTTTCCCTTGGGTTTCAATATACAATCTGAGCTCCTTTGCACACATCATTATATCTGCCTCTACTATGTTAGCTAAGTAAAAACTATCAACAAAGAGAGACCTATCCACATCACTATGGAAAGAAATAAACACTTATTATTGATTGAGGACAGTTCAGTGCATGCATATAGGTAGCCCTCAAGAAACTGCAGAGTCAGGATATAATTCCACACAACTTATAGAATAAAGCAAATACAAAATTCACTTGAGAACTGTAGTGGCTGTTTAGTTAATTGACTTCCTCCAAAAGAATAACAAAACATCTCTTATTTCCTCAAATACACCTTGAATCTTCCTGGAAGTCAAATGGTTACATCTGGAGATAGGCTCCCATATTATATCTGTAGATGTGTCTTTACATTCTAAGGGGAATACGGTTCATGATTTTGAAAAAATGTCTACATTCTAAAACTGAAGAATAAGCCTTTCTAGTTGCTAGAGAGATTGACCTGCATTCTAAAGGATTCATGCCCACTATGTCCCCCAAAGAAACACATTAAGTAAAGGAGAAAAAATAGTCTTTCTTTTTACTCACCTTCATTTACCTTTACAATTCAGTGAGTTATTTCAAAAACAGACCTCTGCCTGCACAATAGATGGCACCTGGTAGATCATGAACAGATCTTTCTTAAATAAGAAAGTTATAGAAGAGGTGACATTGCTCTGGGTGTTAGCACATGAGTAGGAGTTTTCCAGAAGGGAAAAGTCTATTCCATGCAAATAAAAAGTTCTGTTCAAAGGTCCAGAAAATGTGAAGACCCCTGGTATGGGCAATGAAGTTGGAAAAGTTAGACTTACACATATTATATCTGTATTTAGGAGCTGAGCAGCATAACGACACAATCGAGTAGAGAGAATTAGGTTGGTGAAAGATTGCGAAATGCCATAGATACCATGTCAAAGTTTGGAAAAGGTCCATATCTGATAGCTAATACAGGCAACATATTAATTTTTTGGGGTGTCCAGCACAAATATTAAACAGTGCCCCAATCCCAAAGAGTTTTTAATCTAATGGATGAAAGAAGACAAGATAACAAATAATTAAGATAAATGAAATACCATAAATTGACAGATGTATTTGAGGGGGCAGATAGAGGATTGTGGACTGATTTTGGATAATGTTTCTGAGAAAGTTCCTTGGATGATTTTATCTTGACCTATAATGTAAACATAATCAGAGTAGCTCCTGGAATTTCAAATACTTGAACTCTGTGTGTCTATATGCTGTAGTTCTTGCATTCTTTGTTCCCTGTTTCCATTCTGGCTCTGCTGTAGAAAATCACTCTGACACTTTAAAAAAAATTTTTTTCAACTAGCCAACATAGAGTATATCGTTAGTTTCAGAAGTAGAGTTCAGTTATTCATCAGTTGCATATAACACCCAGTGCTCATCACATAATGTGTCCTTAATACCCATGATGCAGTTCCCCCATCCCCCCACCCACCTCCCCTCTACAACTGTTCAAAACCTTTGGGTTGAAGCAAAGGCAGTCCTAAGAGGGAAGTACATAGCAATACAAGCCTTTCTCAAAAATCTAGAAAAGTCTCAAATACACAAGCTATCCTTACAATTAAAGGAGCTGGAGAAAGAAGAGAAAATAAAGCCTAACCCAAGCAGAAGACAAATAATCAAGATTAGAGCAGAAATCAATGAAATAGAAACAAAAATAATAGTAGAACAGATCAATGAAAGTAGAAGCTTGTTCTTTGAAAGAATTAATAAGATTGATAAACCCTTAGCCAGACATATCAAAAAGAAAAGAGAAAGGACCCAGATTAATAAAATCATGAATGAAAGAGGAGAGATCACAAACAACACCAAGGAAATACAAACAATTTTTAAGAAGTAACTATTTGCCAATAAATTAGGCAATCTGGAAAGAAATGGATGCGTTCCTTGAAACTTATAAATTGCCTAAACTGGAACAGGAAGAAAAAGAAAACGTGTACAGACCCATAACTAACAAGGAAATTGAAGCAGTAATTAAACATCTCCCAACAAAAAAGAGTCCATGGCCAGATGGCTTCCCAGGGAAATTCTACTAAATATTTAAAGTGGTACTAATACCTATTCTTCTGATGCTGTCTCAAAAAATGGAAAGGAACAGAAAACTTCCAAATTCATTCTATGAGGCCAGCATTCCCTTGATCCCATACTCAGACAAAGATCCCAC